ATCGTAATGGCGAGCCACCTAGCATGGTGGCTACATTGCAAGCTTGACTGATAGAATTCGGTCTGCAGTGAAGATAGGACTAGACAGATTACACTAGTTACTGACTAGTATGCAATAGAAAAAACAGTTCAAAGTGAATCAGGGCGGTGAGCCATCTGGAATTGTGGTGGCCACATTGCAAACTTGACTGACTGATAGAATTTAGTCTGCACCAAACAAGGGACTAGGTACTCACCACTAGACTGGTGAACATGTTGGTTCACCTGAGACAGCTTGGAAACCCTGATTCCGAAGCCATAACCTCCATCAGCTCTAGAATCCGAAAGCATTGAATGGCTTATAAGCCTGTTTTGGTCACCGCTAGCTGTGGAGACGTAGCACCTGACGCTGTTCTACTGCCTTGTGGATGGATGCGGTCCCTTGAGACAACCACCACCTGTTTTGGTCTGGGTGTCCGGGCAGTATCCCAGCGGACCCCTCCCCACAAACTGAGATCTTGTGAAGCGTATCAGTGAGTGCCTAATAAAAACCCAAACGCCAATGAGTCATATATTCACATATGTTTAAACTGTGGGTTCTAAGAGCGATATACGCGATACGTAGTTGTTAGCCTGATAGATATTCTTTTAGAATACACTGGCACAATAACCAGACAAGTATTTCCTTCTGAAAATAAGGTTTTGACTCTATCAACAACAACAACAACAACAATAAAATTCGATCGATCAGAAACACGATCAATAATATATGCTAATTGACTTTTATTATAGTTTAGTGAATGACACCTCTAATCAATACACACCAAGACGCATCAATACTCAGTGATTCCTAATACGTAACAACCATTCATTTAGCAGGGTGTACACACAAACTTGTAGCGATCGAGTCCAGAAACATTGCGTTACAAAGTGAGTACGTCGTCAGTCACTCCTCAGGTTAAAATAGAACGGCTGGTGTATTTTAACTTCTGATATCCAATGTGATGCTAACAGCATCAGGCTGCATGTATGAGCGTCGGTAGCACAGCGGTTATGACTCTCACCGATCATGCACATGGTCGGAGGTTCGATCCCCTGCCGATGCACATCTGATATCTATGGTCGGCCTGCAAAATTTTGGCTACCGATATCACATGCTGAAAATCCCATACCTGCACCAAAAATACGGTGTGGAGTCAAGCTGTAATCCAAAATAAAAAATATGTATATTCTCACACAGCTTGGTGAATATCACTGGAACAAAAGGGTTCTTTCTGAGAGGCCTGCTTAAAGCTTGAGCTACTGAAAACCTCCATCAATATATATATATATTGCATATAGTTTCTCTGATTCACTTTGTTTAAATATAGTAAAATAGTTGCGTTTACTGTGGCGACTACTTAAAACATTTAAAACCTGAAATTTCGCAAGTTTCTACTAAACATGAGTTGAAAAAGCATTATCCTCGATGGATGGCAGCTTATCCCAGTTTACATGAGATGACAGTTTCTCAATGGTGTATCCTTTGGTTCACAAAATGTACTCCCGAATGTTTAATTTTTGGCATTCAACAAAATGTCGTTGATTTGCAGAAGGAGAAGAAAAAGAGATATCCATAAGGTTTGCGCTTCAGGTCAGATAGAACTGTTTCACACGAACTACTATCAATTAATCTTGGCATTTGATTGGTTACAGGATTTCACCAAGAACTGACATCGGTTAGAGAACTGTTGGACGGCTGTTTCGTCCTAGTCTGGGACTCTTCATCAGTAAGCACCCACCCCACTAAGGTTTGAACTCAAGACCTTTCGGTTGCAAGGCGAGCTCGTGGACTTCAGCAGGCGAAGTACGGGCACAATGTGTACTTACATTAAAACGACAAAAAATGTGAAAAGCCTAACCTGACAAAACCAGAGACAGAAGCCCTAAAACACCTTAGGAATAACAAGGATATAGAGCTCGTAGACTATTCAGCCACTGGGACCCGATTCAATGGCCACTTCATGAATTCCAACTTCTGCCCTATTCAGGTAAGTAGTTGCCTGGGTTTTAATGGAAAGTCGTGACCAGTGAGGTACATTGGGCCGGGTGTGAAGAAAAAATACTCGCTAATGACATTCGCCAGTGGTCACGCCATTGGATCGGGTCCCAGTGGCTTAGTGGTCTACGAGCTAGCTCGCCTTGCAACCAAAAGATCCTGGGTTCAAAATCCAGTGGATGCGTACCGATGAAGCGTCACAAACTAGGACGAAACACCTGTCCAGTACTCCCCGGTGGTTTTTCAATGGTTCTCTAACCAATGTCAGCTCATGATAAAATCCTGAAGTTAAGTTTTTTTATTTGAAGATCCTAGATGTAGAGAAAATAGCATGCAATGAACTCCGCTGAGAATTCAATTCTGTACACTATGTAAACATAGTTCAGTATAAAGCTATTATTATTATCTTACTTATTAGATCTTCTAAAAACCCACCTCACAGAAAGTCAATAATAAGTAGAATGTTAGAAATAAGATTCTCTATTCAAGATTATGGGGGGCAAACCACAATCAAAAGGAGGAATTTAAAGGAAGACACTTCTTTCACTCACTTCTCAGGGTAGTGATGCTCCAACTACAGACGCCACAGACGTGGATGTCAAAGCCAACTAGGATAGGAGAAGTCAGACAAACCTCCCATAATCTGAAATCAGTGCGGAAATCTGCTGCATTCAGCACCAGGAACAAATTATACATATATATATTGAACATTAATACCAAATCAGTGCTTCGATAGAGTTCAGAGACTTGGGGAACACGTTATCAAAAACATTTCCAATAGGTTAGTGAAGACTTTCACCACACCTGCCTTCGCTCCATGCTGAAGATCAGTTAAGGATACGCAACATAGAAATCCAGCAACGAGCCAACCAAGAACCTACTAACTGAGGTAGTAGGCAGCGTCTGGGAATCAGAGGAAGTTCCGTCGGGTTGGTGTAAGTCACTGATTATCCCCATATACAAGAAGGGAGACAAGTCTTCCTGTGATAATCACAGAGGGACTAGCTTGACTAATTTAGTATCTAAAGTCCTAGGCTCAATAATCATGCGTAAACCAAGTGGTGCTCAGGAGGCCCAAACACGAAACAACCAGGCACGCTTTAGACCAGGAAGAGGGTGTATTGATCATATCTTCACCTTTCGACAGATTCTAGAACATAGGCATTCCTACCGGCATCCAACAATCATTATATTTCTTGACCTAAAGGCAGCATTCGATTCTGTCGACCGAGAGGTTCTCTGGAGATGCTTGGCTGTAAAGGGAATCCCGAGAAAATACATTGCACTGATCAAGTCACTCACTCTGCTCGAACTTATGCAGTCAGCCAGGTGAGGGCTTACGGCGAGTTGTTGCCTCAACTGGTGACGACTAGTGGTGTCCGTCAAGGATGCCCATTATCCCCATTTCTATTCAATTTCGTTATAGATGTACCAATGTATTTAACCCTAACTCACTTCAGAGACACAGCGATTGACTAAGAATATGCAGACGATATAGTCCTTTTAGGCGAGCACGCTGACAAAATACAGCAGAGTCTTCTGAACACCCTGAGCTGCAATCTGGGAATGTTCGACATGCGATCCGCTCTTGCTGAATGTCAGATGATGCTACAGAACTGACTGGACTACATCGACTTCCAGCTTAGAAATAGGGAGTGAAGTGGTAGAGCGCGTTGACCACTTGACTTATTTGTGAATTGGCATCAGCCAACGTCAGCGGGTTGATCTCTGACGAAATCTCAGCACGGATAAAGAAGGCTTGTTTCGCGTATGCCAGTTTACACCGTCTCTGGTTGAGTAGACTTTATATCCGGCTATCGACCAAAGGGTGGGTGTACTGCTCAGCAGTCCAGTCCGTCCTCCTTTATGGCTGTGACACCTGGCCATTGAGAGTGGAAGACATGAAAAGATTAGTTGTCTTTGATCATAGGTGCCTGCGCTCTATCTCCTGTGTGAAGTGGTATAATAAGGTGAGCAATATTGAGGTTAGGCGTCGAGTGCTAGGTAAGGAGAGGAAATCAATCGATGAGGCTGTGAAATTACATCGACTGAGATGGTTAAGACATGTGTTACGCACGCGTAACTAGTCATCACCTTCCTCGACAATAGGTAATGTTAGCTGACATAGGGTCAGGCTGGAAGAAAGCTAGCGACGGTCAAACCAAAATATGGTTTCATCAGTCAATGAAATCCACAACAGTTAGTTTAAGCCACGTAAGAAGGTATAGACTTCCTGACTGGTTGGGGTCCGCAGGAGGGTAAACAGCAATGGCTGGAAACAATTGGTGATATGGCCCGAAATCGTTCTCAGCAACTGGTGCAGATGCATTCACTCCTTGTGACTTATAATTTCCAGTGAAACTATATTGTTCTTCGTTATTACTATTCTTCTTGCCTTATATCCCTGTTTACTGTCTCTATCTTGCACTTCTTCTACCTTCTTCACTTGCTTTGTGTGGTACATGGAGTGTGGCGATTCGAAATGCCGCACATCGGTGCAAAGTACTATGTCGAAAACAGACAGACAGATTACCCAATAAATATGTAGAAGGAAATAGAGATGGACTGAACCTACGTTAAGCAGACCATTGAATGACACTAATTACCAGGCCCTCGAATGAAACCTGAATAGGAAACAATGCGCCGGGTGTGGATAAGAGGGTAACATGGAAGAGATACTGTAAAGGAGGAGATGAAAGTCTATAGACAATCCTGGAGACAACTAAAAAGCTCTGCAAATGTGCTACTGAGACCCTATGCTCCACTCGGACGGAACCCGAAGGGATATTAATGATAATAATACATGTCCATTAATATATAGTTATCTACAGCTCTCTCTCTCTCTCTCTCTCTGTCTGTCTCAAATCATGTTGTTTCGAAACAAAAAGCCAAATGTAAAATTCAACTAAAATCTGTACACACAAAAATCCAAAACAAACACAAAACCAAAATAGAAAACACTTTATAAAAAAACTTAAACCTACCTGTCTACTAAACTCTAATAATTGATAATTTCTACACAGTAAAACACAGACACTATGCAATAAACGTCCATAGATTTGATCATAGCCTGATCGTAATTGTGATGATAATTTGAATAATAATTGACATAATGGTTGTAAAATTGGTCTGTGCAGCAGAACATTCTGTCTGGATTGTGTTATTAATTGTTCAAAGGCAATAATAAGATTTCTGCGTAGTACATCACGTGTACTTAATGATTTATCATCTTTCAAGGTTGGACTAGCTTCAATCCATATAAGAAGTGATTGGAATATATTATTGTGTAGTACTGCTTCAAGATATGAACCTTGTAGGACAGTATTTTGTTCTGATTCTATTAAGGATAAATAGATAATTGTTAAAAAAAATCGTCACACAAAAAAATTAGGAGGTAAGCAGACGGATTAAACAGATTCTGGTATAAAATTATTATTTATCATTATTATTATTTCCTTTAATTCCTACAGGAACATAGGACTTCAGCCGCGCGTCTCTATTGCGTTCGCTTCTCTGCTAGAGTTTTCACCTGGACCCACAAGTCTGCCCACACGCTTTCATCCCCCCCTTCACATGACCTCCTCCTTCAAGCCACCCTCACAGTGACGACCAACTCGTCGCTTCTCCTTCGGGTTCCACTGGAGCAATGGCTTGTCTAGTGACGTCACTCACTTGATGGTTTCCTCAGAGTATGACCGATCCATCTAACTCCATTTCTTTCTGCCCATTTGTTGCACAATCGGTTCCTGTTGGGTTGGTTCGTTCATCGCCAGAGATCCCTGTTGGTGATCTTTTGAGCGAAGACAGCTGTTGATGAAAGTCTGTAGTTTGTTTGAGGTGCTCTTTATGACGCGCCAAGTCTCTGATCCGTGTGGTGAGTAGCACTGACTGACTTCACACTGGAGTTGAAAACCTGGATCTTATTTTCATTTTCATGCTGAGTTGATCTCCTCCACACTGACTTGAGTGTAATAAAAGCTTGTCTTGATTTTCCGATTCTAGCTTTGATATCCTCGTCATTTCCGCTTGTAGTTGAAACGATGCTTCCCAGGTAGGTAGGTAAAGAAGGTTGTTTCTTTCAGGTTCCTCCCATTTATGCTGGCTGATTGTTGTCTGTTGTTGTTGTTGCTGTTGATGGTGTTGCCCAGGAATCTTCATTACCTCTGTTTTCTCTATGTTCACCTGAAGTCCTATCTTCTCTGGATGCTTCTTCTATCGTCAACTTGTTGCTTTTTTTATTTACAGCTTGATTCCACACTGTATTTTTGGTACAAGTATGGAATTTTCAGCATGGATATCGCTTGCATATCTTCCAGTTTGTGGGAAATCAGACATATAAAATTAAAAGAATTAAATTATACGACTTTCAATTAGTGAAATCCACGGATTTAAAACTGGTACTGCCTATCCATAGTGAAGATAAAGAGATAAAATTACAGTCATCATACAGTAATGGTGCGTAGGTAGAAATCTGGTTCCTAAGATAAGTATGTTCCAAAGTTCAGTACGTAAACTTGTTCTACTATTATTTTACGTGAAATAAATGACGTATCTACTCTGCAACAGAGCAAAATTCGACAACAGTGTCCCAAGGGGTGGGAACACGCAAGTGACCTTCAAGCCCACCAATCATAAAAATAGGTGACTTTTGCACACAAAAAATGACGTATATTTACAAGAAAATGTATGAAAACGCATTAAACAGGGTATCTTTTTTCTGACATGGCTTAAAGATACGTCCCAGTTAATAATGTGGAGTACTAGTTGCTAATTTAGACCAGTTTCTGTACATGAGTATTCACCGAAGTGACTAAAGATGAGCTGTTTTTGTGAAATGTTTATCTCTCTTATCCTGTTGTACAATCTTCCCCCAAAAGCCCTCGGTTGAATTACTGTGGTTTCCAGGAAGAGGATCGACGAATACTTACCAGGAAAATGTGGATAAGAAAACAAAATTAAAATAAATGACATCAGCAGTAAATCTATCCTTAGTGTTAACCCTAACCCTAAACTTAACACTAACCCTAGTGCTAATTATGACCCTGATCCTAACCCTAACGAGCTATTAACACATTGTCCAAAAGAATTACTCAAAAACGTGATCTGAGTGAAATTAGTTGGTAAATACCGTTGATATTTCAGCTATGATAGTGACAGGTGGCGTCTGTCAACGACTAGCACACGTTCAAAGTCATTGGAGCGCTCGCATTTCTCGGGACACTATTGTTGAACTTCGCCCGCAACATTTTGTTCTTTCTTTGTTCGTGTCTGTGAAACATGTTTATTGAAACTGGAAAATATGAAAAGTTTAGTTGTCTTTGATCATTGGTGTCTGTTTTTTTTTCTCCCGTGATAGGCGATATAATATGGTGAATAGTATTGAGGTTACGCGTAAATTGCTAGGTATGGAGACTAAGTCAATCAATGAAGCTTTGAAGCTGCATTGATTGAGATAGCTAGGACAGGTGTTACGCATGACCAAACACCGCCTTCCTGCTTTGACAACGTAAGCTGGCATAGAGTTGGGTTGAAAAGGAGTTAGATGTGGACTAGTCGAAACATGGAATCAATTGATGGGTTCATTTGATTGTTGAGTCGAGCCATGTAGAGAGGTGTAGACTGCCTGACTGGTTTGGGTTATCAGGATGCTGAGAACTAATGACTATAGACTTTTGGTGGTATGGCTCAAAATCTTTCTCTATAGCGTAGATCCAATCGCTCTTTGTAATTTCCCGGATCATTCTTTCTCTCGCATATTCCGGCTTATTGTAATGGTTTTGAATCTCTGTGTTTCCTCTCTTTTGTCTACCTTCGTGTGCTCCATGCAGTGTGACAAATTGAACCAGTGCACCTCTGTGCGAAGTCCCGTGTTGAAACTCAGTCAGTCAGACTGCCTGCTAATCTAAGCTCTCCGAGACAGAACAAGATACACAATCATAACTTACTGGTTAAAAATCAAATGACTAAACGGAAGAACTACAGTTTCACTGACATTTATTTGTTAGAAGTATGACGCGTACTGGTAGTTCAGTGGTGGGATGTTGGCCAACTGCGTGCCTGGTCCTAGTTTCGACAATCAGACGGCACACTACTTGACCTTCCCTAGCTTGATAGTCGTTAGTAACACCAACCAGTAAAAACAACCCCAAAGCTACCGACCGATAGCTGCTACCTTGACACGGTGGTCGGGCTTGCACATCGCCATGACCCAACAAGCTTCACTGACTGGAACCAATGTTCCTGCAGGTCCTACTATGCCAGGAAGGTTGTTAGGATAGTGATTAGACTAAAAGCAGTTACCGGTATTGTGTAAGAATCTTTCTTAAACTATGCTGGGGTCTGAAGGCGAAGTCGTACTGTTGGGGAACAGGGATGTAACAGCCGCAGTGAGGTGTTTCCCTCAGATGACCAGCATGCCAGCCACCTATGCTGTCTCTCCACTCCGGAGAGTTGCGGGGTTAGAAAAGGTCGACCCCAAAAATTGTACATCCTGACTTACCCTACGTTGGTCCGTAACCGGCGGTAAGTTTACTAATACGGAACTAATCCCACAAACCAGTTCATACACGCCGTCTGTGACCGGCTTCAAGCAGTTGTCCCCTGGGCTCTGAGGTCACGCAACACTAACCCTCTCTCTCTGTTTCAGGTACCCGAAGAATTAATCAACTTCCACGATGTGGGCAGCCCACACACTTCCAAAAGCACACGTAGCCTTCCCGAACATTATTCTCCTTTACTCACATCACCTTCCTCATCTTGCTTCTCTACTACAGTTGGTAGTATTCTGCAGGCTAGTGAGTCATCTTCACTTCACTCTGTGACTAAAACAACGATGACAGCCATAGAAACACCCCAGATAGCCTTTTAAAGCCACGCCGCCAAACCCCAAAGCTGCTGAGACTTCAAGTTTGGAGCCCTATGTCCCAATTGGATTGCAAAGGGGTGAAAAAATAACTAAATAAATCAAAGTAAATAATATAATATATGCCCTGAGACATAAAACTATCAAAAAATCGCCAGTTGAGCTATTCTACTAACAACAACAAAAAATGACTTACTACATGAAAAGTGTTCATCAACTACTAGAAGTATAATTTTTCCAACATGATTGAAGACTGATTCAATTTTAGCAATAGACAGGACAGTATTATTACTGTCATTAATTATTGATTTACAACAATCCCAGTGATCATAGAATTCTTGAATACTTCCACTTGGTAGCATTAAATCAGACTCAGATCTACGCATTATGTTGCAAACTGAGAAGACGAAGAAGAAGAAGAAGACTGATCAATAGAAGATTCATCCTTGAGAAATGGACACCAGCGGAAAGCATTAAAAGCTGGTAAGATATAGAAGAAAAACAGATTCTTTAATAATAATACTTTGCCTTACTCTAAAATAGTACTTGTGATACAGAATGGAATTCTCAGCATTTTACTACAGTATTGCATCCAGTTAGTACATTAACATTAAATAAAATTCCACATAGATTAAGGAAATCTTAGTTCATATTGGCATGTCAGTAGCAAAGCCAAAATTGAACAGAGTGTTTGAAGGTAATAGAAATGTAGATGCTAGCATATTTACCAGCGTAAGCGGTAACAAAAAGGTCTAGATATACAGAGTGTGAAAAAACGAAGAATCCTTTAAGTAGAGTTTGTAAGGAAGAGAGAAACAAAGCAACACATAACAGAAAAAGAGAGAAGAAAAGAAAGAAAGAAGGCGTTGTACCTATAAATGATATGAGTTGGAAAGACGAGATCCAGTTGTTCTACTGACTATTTAATAAGTAATGGGTATCACGTCTAACGCTTTCTTTATCGCACAGATTTGACAGACAGGTGTTATACACAAAACTAAGTGGTTAAGTCATAAGTTACAAGCTGGCTGCAGAGAAAGCAGAAAACTAAATTTTCAAGAGCAGGGATTAGTGACACCCATCAGCAGATAAATAGTGAAACGAGGTGCTGCAAATGCATATTTTCACCTCACCTATTGACTGTGTACAATTTAGCACCACTAGCCCTAATAACATAAAGTCTTAAATAGTACAGTAATGACCACTACACTTCATATATTGATTGAATGGTAGGAAAGTAAATATTGACAGAAATAAATGCAATAAAACTCAAAAAAAGGTTTTAAAAAAGCAAAGCTTTATTTAGAAATGCAGAACTTTATTGACATTTCTGACTGTGCAGTAAACTATATTCTTGGTATAAGCAAATAAGCAATACTGTATGCTTTATGAGACAAAATTATTCTATAGTGAAATTTAGCCACATCTTTACTGATTCAAACAAAACTGCTGTCTAGCGTTATGAGCTGTACAGGTTGAACGAATTTCACGTCACTGAATGTGTCAAAATTCTTTATAATAAAAACGACAAACAAGTATCTTAGAAGCCGTAAAACCTCGTGAAGTATCGAGAACAGGCTAAGCTTCTAAGAAAGCCGCGAACTATAAGCTATCTTGAGCAATTAAACAACGTACTAATTTTAATTGAATTTTAGATATTCCCGTCGATTGATTGGAACGAAGTGCTCCGTCTCAGGTTGACATGTCGGCTTCTTGTGCAGATGATTCGACGAAGTCTGGTCATGTAATTAGAAGTTAATTGGTGGATAGTGACTTGCAATGGAATCTAGGATGCGCATTTCGTCCTATTTGTGTTTCGTCAGCCAACTGGATGTACCTGTATTCCCCAGTGACTTAGTGATGGTCTTCCCACAAAGGCTGGATAACGCTTTGGCGTTTGAAACTATGGGCACTGAGTTCCAGACTCGGTGGGAACATCACGCTGCGGAATGCAGGTACATCCAGATGACGAGTCCAAAAAAGAACGAAATGGGCACCCTGAATTCCATTGCTAGTCACCATCCATCAATTAACTAATGTACTAATTTACCTAGCTTCTAGACTGACGTATCAATAAACTGACGTTAAGATACGTCTGACAAGTTTAGCTTTAAAAAGCCATTATTTTAGTTAATAGTAAGCCCATTTACAATATAGATACAAGGACTCAACCTCAAATAATAACACTGTAGTACTAATTGAATTCAAGCAACAGCTCGAGTGCTTAAATGAGAAACTATCATCTGCCACGGAAAATTGCAATACAAGATATCAAAGTATATCCCCCTAAACGTATGAGTCAGTGCAAAGCAAATGCTTAAATAATAAGTACGTCAATTTATTTGTTTTCTGACATGAACAGGTACAAAAAGAAAAAATCTGTGGGTCTAATGCGAGCTAACTTTAATTTATGGCTTGTGTAAAGAGGAACTGATTAATTACAAAGTTTTTCATAAACTGAATATTCTACCTGATCATATCTTACTGAATACAATCTTCCTTGATGATAGAGAACTAAGGAATCTACGAACAACTCAATTCAGCTAAATAACCTTTTACACATTCTCCTAGTATTTAAAGAGTAAGTGATAACCCTGGTTACGAAATAGTTGTAAGCAAAAGAGGTTATGGACTTAAATAGAGGCGCTTGAATTAGGACAATACAAAGACAGGTGGAGAAGGATACACGAACAGGACTAAAGGAGTATGAAGCATGGAAGTTTGCAGATCCTATGCAGCAGCAAAGATAATTTAGAATATTAAGTGTCGTGCATCTCCTAAAAATGTCGATTTCCACGGCACACTTCAGTAATTCAAAGTTTCATATTAGTTTGTTTATTAGATGTATCACACAGTGAGACAGTATTATTTACTGGGTGACGTTTCGAAAAAAATTTACTGTTCATAGTCATATCAATTCAAAGTTTGTCTACACAAGTGAATTGATTGGTATCCTATAAACAGTGATTTTCCTTTTTCTAAAACTTCAAGAAAACGAACTTATATCACAGTAAGGAAATTCGAAACAGCGTAATTTAAAAGTAATGCGTATTATAATTTTCAAACGGGTGCAATACTAAATATTAACAGCAACAATAAGTTTATTGTACAATACGACAAAGTTGAAAACAGTACATGACGTGGTCTTTAACTCCTAATCCCAGCTTGCGGTACATGTAAACTTACACAGATGACCCCAGACGTACGTCGAGTCTGTTTTAACTACATTTAACTCATCTGTGATACTAGAGAATTGAGTAGATTTGCATCAACTTGGTTTGTAGTGCTATATGTGACAGGTCATCTTAGAAGATGTACTTTAAAATTTGCGACAAATCATTTCCTTGACAGGTTGCAAAAATGCAAGCAATAACCAGATAAAATTAACACACGCAAAATATAAGTGTTACGAGGAATAACTACACTTCCTTCAATTTAAATAAAATATAATCATTTTTCGCAAGAAGTTAACTGTATATATGGAATGCAATGCTTAATCTAACGTCGACACCACTTGAAGAATAAATAAAGATAACTAAAATACGTACTTAAACACCCATTCTCTCAATAAATGTGGTAAATGCATATGGAGAACAACCACAATTCCTTTTGTAACGGAAAGTTCTATTTCTCCTCCAGTCACGACAAGGTCGAATACAATATTCAATATCGAATTTTGGACTGAGACATTTAAATTTTTCATTGGAGATCGTAAGCGTCAAGCTCATGGAAACCATCGTATATTTTCTTATTCAATACCTCCTTGAATGGGCTGATCAAAGGCTCTTCTTTTAAAAGTAGACTGCGCGTCAGTGGCACTGTGATTAGGACGCTCGCCGACCAAGCAATTTCTCCAGGGTTCGATTCCCTGCCAACGCACACCTGGCATCAATGATCGGCCTGCTAAATATGTACTACCGATATCACATGCAGAAAATTCCATACTTTTACCAAAACGCTGCGTGGTATAAAAAATTAGAAATATATATATGAGACTTTCGAGTTGATTCAGATTCAGATTCAGATGATAAGGATAGAAGGCTCTTGTGGCCTGTGTTAATCCTTGCAAAGTATATCTCTGCAGAGATCTAACTTCTCTTTGAAAGCGTTCACCGATGGAGCTGATACTACTGAATCAGGTAAGGAGTTCCAATCGTTGACCACTCTGTGAGAGAATCTAAATTCTGCACGTATTTTAATCGTCCTTGGTTTGAGCACCTTTTTGCGGTGACCCCGTAAATGTATCCTAGAAGGGGAGAAAAGGTTAGAAAGGTCAGTTCCTAAATCACCCTTAAGTATACGGTATGCTAAAATTAAGTCGCCTCTCTTCCTTCGGTATGATAACGGGAAGAGATTTAAATGCTCCATCCTCTTATCATAAGGAAGGTGTGAGATACCACTAACTAATTTTGTTCCTACTCTCTGTACTCTTTCCAGAATATGTGCCTCCTTTTTGAAGCATGGACTCGTCGCTTGTATGCAGTATTCTAGATGAGGCCTGACATATGTTGCGTAGAGTATTTGGAACATGCCCTCGTCTAATCGTTTGAAAGCCCTTCGAATTGCCCATAGCATTCGAAAAGCTTTAGCTGCGGCTGCATTGCAATTTGCAGTTGTTTTCAAATCGTTGCTGACAATGATTCCTAGGTCCTTCTGTTCGTTAACATCAGGTAGTTCTGCATCCCCTAGGGAGTACGACGTATAAGACTTCTGACCTAAGTGCATTACCGCGCTTTTCCTAGCATTCATTTCCAAACTCCATAGGCTTGACCACTCAGCTAATTTATCTAAATCAGTTTGTAGGGCCAACCTATCCTCGTTATTGTTTACAGTTTTCCATACCTTAATGTCATCTGCAAATAATAATGAAGATGAAGAAAGAATCCCTGGTAATTCGTTAACGTATAATAGGAATAGCAATGGACCTAATACAGTTCCCTGGGGCACTCCACTGGATACTGCTTTCCATCCTGATAGTACACCATTAACTCTAACCTTCTGCCTTCTATCCATTAAGTAATCTCTAAACCACTCACATAGGCATTGGTCTAGTCCGAAACCTTTCAGTTTACTAAGGAGACCTAAGTGGGATACTTTGTCGAACGCCTTGCTAAGATCAATAAAAACCACGTCCAACAGATGGTCCCTATCTCTGGCCTCAACCCAGTCTTCCCTAGCCAATAGTAGGTTTGTCAAGCAGGATCGTCCTGGTCGGAATCCATGCTGTTCCACAGCCAACAAGCCATGTGTTTCAACATAAGCTAATAGTTGATCCCTTATAATAGTTTCCAGTACCTTTGCAATAATGCATGTCAGACTTACCGGCCTGTAGTTAGATACCAATTGCCTATCCCCGTCCTTGAAGATAGGGCTTATAATGGCATCCTTCCAGTCCCTGGGTAGCTTAGCCTGCGTCAGAGACATTTGGAAAATCTCCGTAAGCGGAATATATATTATATCCGCCAAGGAAAGTAACAACTTAGGGTGGAGTCCATCCGGCCCAGGTGATTTACCTGGCTTCAGTTTAGACAGTAGTTTGAGAACCTTTGTGTGCTCTACCACAATTGAGGGCATCTGAGTGGCGATGGCAGTGACCTCGCCATATCCCTGGGTGGTACTATCAGACGAGAAGACGTCACAGAAGTATTCAGAGAGGTTTTCAGCCCTTCCTTCGTCTGACTCAGCCGCTTCTCCACTAATGGTTATGAGTGACGGTATACCACTGCTAGTTTTAGTCCTACGTTTAATATACGAGTAAAACCTTTTTGGGTAATGAACGCAATCTAGTACTAATCGTCTCTCGTACTCTATACGACTCTTGTTAATCGCATACTTACAGAGGTTTCGAGTTTTGCGGTAGTCTTTCTGGAAGTTTTCCCTTCCTGTCATAACAAATTGGTCCCATAAGTTCTTTCGCCGTCTTAATAACCTCCTTATTTCACTAGTGATCCAAGGAGGTTCATGCGACGGCTTTCGAGGAGTGTACCAAGGTATAAAAGGTGAAGTGACACGATCTAGTGTATTCCTAAATCCTACCCAAGCTTCCTCGACAGTCTGACTTGTATCAACTGACCAGTCAACCACAGTTGCTGCGTTCCGGATTCCTTGTATATCCGCTTTCCAAATGTTTGGACGAGCAGATTTTGGCCTGTGCATGAGAGAATGAATCCTAAACGTAAAAGCAATGACTATGTGGTCACTGCTGCCAAGCGGCGGAAGGCACCTAATGTTACCAACGTCCTCCTTCTGGTGTGTCAATACCAAGTCTAGAGTAGATGGATCATGTTCAGGGTGATACCGTGTTGGTGCATGCATATGTTGCACGAGTGCACATTCAAGCACTGTCAATGTGAGCTCCCTATTGAAACAGGTATACAAACTAGTGGAGTTTAATTCCCCCCAATTAATATGTGGAGCGTTAAAGTCGCCAACAATCAGACACCTATTTCTACTACCCCACGCCCTCAAGTGATTTAGAACGAAGTCATCAGCTTGGCTAGCAGGACTTCTGTAGATAACTCCGATCGTTAAAGTGCCTTTGTTTAAGTTAATGATGCAACTTGCGGCTTCACTGGTGCCGCTGTCATGAGCTTCTGACAACGTTGACCTGATCCCTATGTCATCCCGGATGTATAGAGCAACCCCCCCACCTTTCCGACTACTTACTCTGTCTGCTCGTATGCAGATATACCCAGGTATGAGTGGAGTTAAGTCTACACCCACTAACAACCACGTCTCAGTGATAGCAATTACATCAGGTTGTAGTCTTTCAGATAACTCTCCTAATTCGGCGAGCTTATTCCTAAGACTACATGCGTTCGTATAGCACACCGAAACACCTACGTGTTCACCCGGCTTATGAAGAGAGGTCTCGGCAGCATCGGTTTCCGAGACCTCACCACCCGAAAACCCAATAGTTTGAGGTCCTTCTCGCCTTTCTCTAGCCTGGCCTTTAGTTCAGCCACGGCTTCTCTTCTTTTGATTCTATCTTCCAAAGGCCAATCAGGCCTTATTTTTAGACTTTTGTCGTTGACTTTGAACGCGTTGTCGAGGATGGTCCTCCTCTCTGTTTCGTTCCCTAAAACTACCTTAAGTAGTCGTCGAGGAGTTCCTGTAGCATCAGGGTTTCGTTTTCCGATCCTGATAGCCTTTCGTACGTGTACTCCAGTTGTTTTTTCGGGAAGTATTTCCCGGAATATGGAGCTGATCGCCTTCAGATCATCTGCATGTCGGGCAGCTGGATCTGTGTTCTTAGATTCCTCCAAGTTCCAGATGATAATACTGTAACTAGAGTCCGTGGGTTTCTGAGTTTTGCTGGAACTAACAGTCGTCGAGACCTTGTTGGTAAACTCGGCTACTGTTTCTTTCCTAGTTTTGTTTAGCTTCTTACCTTTCGGCAGCAACCAAGTGGAGTCCGTTTCTCCCACTCTGTTTTCGCCGCGACTAGAAGCCATTCGTGCACTAGACACGCTGCGCTTTGGCGTTGCTATTTCACAGGCTGGTTTTGCCATGCTGGCACTACTTGCCCTTCTGGATTTCCGTTGCCTTTTGCGCTTTGCAGCAACAGATAGTTGGGCATTTTGTGCTTCTTTCGCTTCTGAGACTTCAGGAGGTGATGCATCCTGAATCTTACAACTATGTCCTGAACCGCCATCCTTGGCGAAGGTTTCTGGTACAGGCTTTTCAACTATGTCTTTCGACAATTTCTTGGACATCAAGAGTCCTACTGCCTCTTGGATGAGGACATCTAACGGGTTGCTGCAAAATTTGCACAGCCATGGAGATGATGGCTTGCAACATCTCTCAGTGAAAAACATTACTACCCAGCAAGGTAATTCCCAGTCAGCTTTTTAGCGTTCCTGATACTTCCTCTGTCGTTTTTCAACTAAATGGAAAGAAAAAATAACTCAGACGAGGTCTGCAACCTTTTTTCAAAATGTTGGATACTCTGATGATCCTCTGTGTCTATTGTGCATTATGAGAGAAGATTTTGTTGCTCATCGCATATAGCACCGGTTATATTAAATAGCTGTCATCTACAGTTCTTCAGACTGTTATTACTGTGTAAGGTGATTTTCAGTTCTAGCTTCTAGAAGCGATTTTGTCGATGAGACTTCACTTAAGATGGACAAAGTGATGCACTTATTACGAATGATTCCAGTTAAGGTCCTGCGGATTTTCTTAATGGTACTTAAGGCACAAATGCGGCCTGGAGTTACTGTTTCCTGGCTCTTAAGTCATAACCTAATTAACAACCTACATCGTTGGTTTTCTAAAACCAAAGAAACTGACTTCTCCCAATATAGTGCACTCTGGAACTTGAATGAGAAGCTGCACATGGTTGATGGGTTGGCTGAGTTTATGGAGCACTTACTTTCGAACAGCTGAGGAGAATACAGAACTGTTTGTAGCTGAGTGTACTGTACTTTTTTCAGTTCAAACGTTGTGGATTTCAAGAAGACATTTCGTTTGTTCCTTGATACAAGGAAGGTAATTTTTAGCATCAGACAGACTCTGCATTACCAGATTACTTACCTATGTTTTCTAAAATATTCTTCATTATTAAATCCCTTATTTTTTCTGCGCTCTTTAAAAAGCTCCTTTTGTAATGGTTAAGATTTTCAAGGTTATAAGCGGCGTCACTGAGGGACTTCTGTCGGAAGCAAATGTCACTGAAGTTGACACGAACTTTAATTCTTGCCAGCCATTGCCTCGCATCATTAGGACAGATAACAAGCACCCTCAAAACTGTGTACATGTGATTCTTCAAGAAGGGCTCTAAACAGCTTCACTATAATCTATGTTAGTGTGACTGGACATAAAAAACCACCCACTGCTTCGAATAAATTGGGTGTATCACTGTATGACCACAAGCACCGATGAAACGATGCCAAATAATACGATGCATCGAATTTATCCTAAGTGTATCATCGAAATTCCCAGATTCACGCTCAGTCAACGAATATATTCTGACCTAATCGAGGCATGATTCCACAAGATCCACTCTATGGTACTATTACCAATAGAAAGTTATATGGAGTATACAAATCTACCTCAAAAAAGAAGAACTCTTTGCAACTAACCAGCGAAATACGTCGCAAATTGACCTACAATGGAGATGACCAGAAAACTATAACCATCGTCGAATTCAAGGAATAGATATTCTCAGCTTATTTGAAGATTGAACGACCAGTTCATGGTTGTTTGCTCAAACCCAACTCCTCCATATTTTTCGCGGGAGTCATCAATCCAGCAGTCATCGTCTCATCGTTCGCTGTTCAGTGGAAGACAGAAAACTATCAGAAGTATTATCGTGATTTATTGTTATAACATTTATTCTTAGACCTTATGTGTAATAACCTTATTGTTCGTTACATATTAGCGTAAGAATAAAGGGTTCTGGAGTCGCCAATCAGTGTTCTGGTTTCCGCGTTGGTTAATACAAAGTGTTTCTGAAGGTCTTCCAGGGACAGCGTCAGGTCCAGCGTAGTAGAAGCTGGACATTGACAGTTTATGAGACTTGGCTGACGTTTTCTGATAGTGTTTGAATAGTTTCCATTCGTCTTTCCTGGTGCCTGCCAGTCTTCTTTGGAAAAGTATTATCTGGAACTTTTCTGGAATTTAGGAAAAGTTCAATGATTCCTGGGTCAATGAAGAGAAAGAGCGTCTTGGAGGCAAGCAGGAAAGTAAGTAATCTTGAAAATCCCCATTTAGTCATATGAAAAAGAGAAGACGTTCAGCGAAGAGACTCTTTTCGGCGAATTCATTCACATAGCTGTACAATCGCATTTATATATAATTATTTGAGTGTGTGTGTGTACATGAGGTTTGTCAAAATTAG